CCACGCAAGGGGGAGATTCTTCAACGATACGTACTTGTATGTACAACGATACGATACATTAACGAGTTACCTTTTCTTCTTTCCTTTCTCTTTCACTTCTTCTCTCGTTTTGTTTCCTCTCTATTTTTTAACAGTTTCGAAAGGAAAAGGGTAAACGCTCGGACAAGTTAGAAATCGCGACGCCACGCGATAACTCAACATTTATATTCCTCTTCCACTCACTTTCCATCTCTCGATTCACATTCGTTCAAAGCGAGAGAGTTTCGGACAAAGTTTCGCGTCACTTCGCCCTCTTAGGAATACACTTTGTCACTTTTTACTTCCAGCTTCCCCGTCAAGCCTCGTGACTCCGTCGCCACGATGGAAGCCCGGGTCTCCCGACCTTGCAAATTCAATTTTTCATCCGTGTGTATGTAAAAGCTTCTTCGCCTCGAGTACTTTTCCTGTGCTTATCTCGCAAAGGAAAAGAGAAAAAGGAAAAAGAATCGAGATTAGGAGAACGGTCAGCATAATCGCTTTCTTTTTCCAAAATTTCTCCTCACGTCGCGATTACATCGCGAATTCTCGATGGAAAACTAACTTACCGACCGTTCGTACCAACTTCGATTCGACTCGATCGCGATTCACGTTTATTGTCGATGCGCCGACAGTCGGAAAGAGAGGACGAGCGATTGTGGTTGGCTCGACAAACCCCCGTTCGAGCGAAGAAATTTGGAAAAAGAAAATAATCGAACGTATAAAATCGTGTTTCGTAACAAACTACTGCACCGAGTTGTCGGAACCGAAACTGATTGATCAGCCTCGATCAACCGCCCTTCCTTCTTTCCCTCCCCCCACTCGGTAACATCGCGTTACCTCCTCTCCTCTCCTCTTCCCACATATTCTCGCCCCTCGTTCCTCGATCCATCTTCATTCCAAGGAGCAGGCTGGCTCGGAATCAACCTTTATCTTTTCTCGCCGAGGATTCTCTCGACGAGGATTCGATTCAGGACGTGAATTCATTTATTTTTAATCGACAAGAGTAAAAGGAAATAAGAGAGGGTCGAGGAGCTGTATCTTCTTCGAGGATTGCCAATTATTAGAGGAATCGGATGGCTGGTCCCAGTTCGTTGGAGGGAAAGAAAGAGGGATACGAACGGAGAGGGGAAAAGTTACGACGTTCCAAGACAAGTCTTCTTCCAAAGAAAGAGGACTACTCTACTTTGGAACGTGTTGCTCGTGTAGTTTTCGCCTAACTCTTTCCGATTCTTTCTTCCTCTTCTTTTTCCTTCCTCCTCCAGAGGGAGGAAGAAAGAAGGAAAGAGGGGAGGAGAAAGGAAAAAGAGAAGAGAGCGGTGTCGGGAAAAGAATTTTTACAATTTTTGGCGGATAATTTTAAAGTTTTTTTCTCCACGAGTTCCATCGTTGCCTCGAGTCGAGCACGCGATTGTCTTTAACGCGCCCTTGAGCACGCACGTTCAAGCTGCGCAACAAAGGGGTTTCCAACGTAGGAGGTCCTAGACGCAACTCTCCGGCAGCCTGTTTGCCATCAATCGTCTTTTGATCGCCTCTCCGTCCAGGCACTCG